GATCTCTGTGAGTTTGAGGCCAGCCTGGTCTACAGAGTGAGATCCAGGACAGGCACCAAAACTACATGAGAAACCTTGTCTCAACCACCCCCATCCCCCAAAAAATCAACCGGCTATATTTTCTATTAAAGCAATAGGCTTTAGGTAAGTGATACGGTTTGCAATATCTACATGATGGTAGGTGATAATGTCCCTTTGTCCCTAGGTGCTACCTCCTCTTCCTCCTCAAATCCAATATAATCTAGCTCCAGAAAATAACTGCAGCTGAGATCATATTTACGTGCTGGGGGAATTAAAGATAATTTGATTCAGTGAACATTCAGTTCTTTTTGAACTATGCTTAGTGCTGGAGGACATGAGAAGGACTGGTTTCTGGCTCTGAGGGACAGAGCTGTTGATGCAGGAGGCTGGCAGCGGGACACTGGTACCTCAGAGGGAGGGTTTGCTTTGACAGGTCCTCTGGAACCAGGGGACAGAAGAAGGGTATTAAAACCCATCCACTCTCCATGGCGGCTACTGTGCCACTTCCTAGGCTCTGTTTACTTACCCCTCATTCTAACAGGGCTCTGTTTATTCAGCTCCAAACTACAGGAGGGGAAACAGGCTCGGAAAAAGTAGAATGGCCTGCTTACCCATCACAGAACCAGCGCTTAGCTAAGACACCCATCTGGATAGTTCCAACTTCAGACCTGTTCTTAGTTGTGTCTTACTTGAAGAGCTCATTAAAGGGAAGGGAAGAGAAGGGTGTGTGTTCCAGAAAAACACCAGGAGTAAAAATGCGGGGGAGATGTACCAGGTGTGCCTAGAACACAAGTAGTGTAAGTGGCCTGGGGAAAAACAACCAAACAGGTGGAGGGTCCGATGGAAGGGCGTGGAAGGTCAGTGCCCATGTTTTTCTTGATGATGTTCACTCTCCCCAAAGAGCATCATTTGGTCCACAGCTGGCTCATGACTTTCCTCTCCTCCTTGTGCTCTTGCTTTCACTGGGGATGACTGTGTGACAGACATATCATGCTTGGCTGGTACCTCCTCACAGACACACCTGTGCTGAGGAATGAGGACAGCTATTCTCTGCAGCCTTGCTCTTGACATGACACTTTCAACTGTGAGTCTCTCCCTTTTCTCTTTCTCCTCTCTCTCTTCGGGGCCTCTGTTCTTGTCAGTTTCTGGTCACTACTTCCTGTGTTTGCTTGTCTTTTCTGTGTAGGTTCCCCCAAAGTTCTGTCCTCAGTGTATGTGTCTCTTTCCCCCACCCCTCTTGAAGAACAAATCATGGGGAAAGGAGGGAGGCGGCAATGCTAGGTGTGGAGAACCGGATGCGTTCAGAAGGTTTTGAGCAACAGCTGATGGGGTTAAACAATAGATTTTTCTGGCAGGAAAAGAAGGAGGAGACCAGAGGGAATCGGGGGAGACTTGTGGGTATTGGCTTTAGCTCTGCGTTTGTTGAGATGCAGCAGGTATGGATTTCATGGCTGCAATGGGAATCAGGGAGTCGGAAGTTTGTCGGGTCCTTCCTGACTATCGAACATTCTTGAATGGAGGAGCAGGGATTAAGAAATAATAGATACGAAAGATAGAGATGCAGACGTAAAACAAAAAGGCAGAGACCCAGAATAGCATCGGGAGGGCTCTGAGTCAATACCACAGTTACCCTGAGTTTATTTCTCAGGGCCTTTTTATACCCAAAGCAAACTGTGTGGGGGTGTGTGTAAAAGACCTCTCCCCTCAATGACATCATGGTTCAAAGTACAAACAAGTGTAAACACCTCCTTCATTCTCAAGACATCTGGTAACCAACCACACCTTTGGCAAAAGATCCTGTTATTTAACTTTGGAGGCCAAAACAAGCTCAAACTCTCTGAACTTGAGTCAAGATAGAATAAGGTCATGCTATGGAGCCTCTGTGGGCCCCTACAGAAATTATACGTTAAGTTTGAAATGTCTGCTAGAGGACCACATGGAAGTCAAGAGAAGGAAGGCTGGGAACATCAACATACAGAGCTAAGGGTGCAGGTGACAATGAATGGGAGAGCAACTGAGCAGGAGTGAAGACTGTGAGACTTCCGTGAAGTCCATGTGTGGAAGAGCAGAGCCAACAGAGGATCCTGAGGAACGGCAAGGGGCTGGCAGGAGATCCAGGGGACAGTGGGGCTCAGAAAGCAAGTGGAGAGATTGGAGAGATGGCTCAGGTTTAGAGCACTGACCGCTCTTGCAGAGGACGCAAGTTCAGTTCCCAGCACCCACACCGAGAAACTCACAACTGCCTGGCACTTCCGCTCCAGAGGGGAAGGGCACAGGCAACTCTCATGGAAAGGGTGGGTGGTTATGCTTGTTTAGATCCCAAGAGGCAGTGCGATCAGATGGAGGTTGGCAGAGATGGAGAGTGTTGGTGACCCATCTGGTAGTGGCTCTGGAAAGGCTGATAAGAAGAGGATCATGATGGCACAATCGTGACAAAAAGGGAAGAAGAGTAGAACAGTTGTTGTGTGGGGCACAGTTGTGTGGGGCACATTGTGTGGGGCACAGTTGTGTGGGGCACACTGAGACACTGGGTGAGTGGTTATCTGTGGGGATGCTGTCAAAAAGGGAGTGAGACTTGTCTGAGGCAGAATCCTCAAGTAATCAGGGAAATGGGGCCTAGTGGACATGTGGAGAGAGCCTGCATGGACCTTCCCATTATAGAGAGAAAGAGAACAGTACTAGGGTGCATTTGGTCACTGAAGCCCAAGGATGCATGCTGACTGGTTCTGTTCTCTTGGGGCATCATGAAGTTGACGGCTGAGCTTAAGGCTGGAGACGGCTTTAAGCCGAGCCAACTGGTTAGCCCAGCACAGCAGGCTGCCAAGGCATCCCCATCCTTGTTTCCCCTGCTGTGCCCAGGTAATCCCTTCTCCTCTTCTGAAACCCCAGGTCCAGTGCAGGGGAGACGGCCCAGTGGGTAAAAAAAATGGGGGTCTGAGTTCAAATCCCCAACATTCACATACAAAGCCACGTGTGGCTATGTGCACCAATAACCCCAGTTTTGTTGAGGGTAGAAACAGGCGGCTTACTGGGGCTTGCTAGCCCCCAGTGTAGCTCTAGGTTTAGTAAGAGACCCTACCTCAAGGCAATAAGGCAAAGTGTAATGGTGAAGGATAGCTAACATCCTCCTCTGGCCTCCATGCATATGTGGGCATGAACACTCATCTACGTCTACACCATACATACATGTCCTAGATCGTCCTGCCGCCCTCTCTAGATGCCCCCAGGACACCATTCACTGGGCACTCTTTGCAACCTGGCTCACTGGCCCTTCCTCTCCATCATTTCTCGGTCATAGCTGTATGCTCCTTTTAGTCTCTTTGTTCTGGGACTTCCTTTCCGCTCCAGACCTGTGGTACAAGGGAAGGGATGAAAAGAACTGTCCTCGGTGACTGCCGGAAGTGAGCTCACACCAAGGGAAGGGGGTGCAGCCAAGAGGACTTTGCTGACAATGGTTGGCGGGGACAATGGAAGGAACTAAGAGAAGGGCAAAGAAAAGGAGTTCACATCGGGTCAGATGTGTGGAGCCTTCTGGAAACCGGTCTAGGAGCTGAGGAAGGACAAGGGGATCGGACTCAGGATGCACCTCTCCTGCCCACTCCCAGAGCCATCTCACTCTGACCCCTTGCCTTCACTTCCTGTCTCCAGTTCACTGACGCTTTCGGGTCTCTTCAATAACGACCACATCAAAGCCATTCTCCATTCCTGTGTTCTCGCCTGCTTCAGCTACAGCAGTCGCCTGCTTCCCCATCCTCACCGGGATGTGTACAGTTGTGTGTCTTCCACGCTGCCATTGGAATCGCTGTAATCAAATTTGGGTTCTGCTCTTACATAAACTCCATAAAAAATAATTATCATCTCTCCATCATCTATAGAATGAAGTGCACATTCCTGGAAATGGCTCTCCACAGTAGCTCCTGCTCAGCACCCACTCAGGTCTCTTTGTAGCCTGGCCTCCTGGTATCCTGGTTTGCTTTCTGTGATGAAAACGCTATAACCAAGAGTAACTTGGAGAGGAAAAGATTTATTTCATTTTTCACGTCCATGTCATAGTCCTCCATTGAGGGAAGTCAGGGCAGCTGAAGCAGAAATCCTGGAGGAACCCCGCTTACTGGCTTGCTCTCCGTGGGTTGCTTAGTTTTCTTCCTTATACCACCCAGGACCACCTGCCCAGAGGTGGCACAACCCACATTTGACTGGACCCTCCCACATCAATCATTAGTCAAGAAAATGTCCCACAGACATTCCTGCAGGCCAATCTGATGGGGACAGTTTTTTTCTCAATTGAAGTTCCTTATTCCCAGATGACCATAGTTTGTATTAAGTTTGTCAAAATACTAACCCACTGGCCAGGCTGTTCTTCTTGCCACACAGTCTTCTTTCCCCATCTATAGCATGAATTCTAATTGGTCTTAATAATCAAAACCCAGAGTCAGATATCCGGACAAATGCTGAAAGATCAGAGAAGTAAAGGAGCAGCCACTAGAGAGACCCCTTACCTCTACAGAATCCTCAGACTGAAAAGAGGTGAGCCCTGTATCCACCCAGCCTTATCACTTCCTCTCTGCCCAGCCATATTGCTTCCTATTTTCTTTTCCCAAGTGCTGAGATTACAGGTGTGTGCCTCCCAAGTACTGGAATCAAAGCATGAGATCCCAAGTGCTGGGATTAAAGGTGTGTGTCACCACTGCCTGGCCTCTAGTGGTTCGCTCTGTACTCTGATCTCCAGGCAAGCTTTATTTGTTAGAGCACAAACAAAATATCACCACACCTTTCCTGTCTAATGATTCAGCCTTGAGAGTGTACTCACTACTCACCATCCTTGTCCTGAGTGGGCAGGTTAAATAAGCCAAATAAATACTATGCTAGATGGTGGTAATGCCATGGAGAAAACGTACACAGGAAAGGTTGTTGATACTGAGGAGATGAAGTTGTGATTCGAGCTGCTGGGGGCCATGAAGAGGATCAGTGAATAGCCAGAAATGGGAGGTGGGAGGGAACAGAAAGATTCCCGAAGCCATCTAGGACCTGAGTCCAGACAGAGGAGTGTGTGAGGCTGAGCGAGGAGGTCCACAAGAAGGAGGAGCGGGAGTGGTTAGGTCTAAGGTGCAGGAGAGGGTCCTGAGTGGAGGAGAAGCCGTGGGAGTGTTTGGGCAGGAAAGCAACCCAGACTGAACACTCACCACTCGGTGGAGCCCTGGGGGGAGTCACCCCTGCATCTACTCACCAAGCTACAGACTCCAAAATTTGAGAGAAGCAGCTTGAAACAGAGCTAGGTCCTTCTCCCTTTAGCGTCTGTCCAGGGGAGACCCACTTTGTCCATGTTTACACTGTTTGCATCCTCCTGGCAAATGCTTATGGAAGTGTGAGCTCAAGCATTCATAGAGATGGAGGCTCACACTTCCACGCATGTGTGATAGCTCAGAATGGACCCATTTCAGAGTGGTTTTAGGGAGATGACCTTTCGCATCACCTTGGTCCTCGGTTTCCTCACCTGTGAACCAGGATGAGAACAGGATGCAGGCAAAGGCTGTGCCATTGTGTCTGATGCTGAGGAGGTACTCGGAGCTTTTTTCTCCCCCTCTGTCCTCTACTGAACCTCTTGCAATTTAAATGACCACTCAGGCCTTTTCACCCTGACCATGGCCTCATACTTTCAGATCACATGCCAATGAATACATTGGATTTGGATGACTCCAATTGACCTAGCTCTAATATCATTTTGACCGCTAAAGGAATTTATTAATGTGCATAAGATAAATCTGTTCTCTTCCCCATTTAAATAGAGGTGAAGGAATTTTACATACTGCACCAAAAAGAAAGTCATTCACCTAAACAATAAAACTAAATCAAATTAGAGTACATAACTATTCCGTGCTCACTAATTATATACATATGTATGCATTTGCTATGTATGTATATATTGAAAAATATGTATGCATTTAAAATATATTCTCATACACCACATGTGTGTCTCCATCAGGTGATGAGTTGGAGATCCTGATCTGCATCAGGATAAAATAGCCTAACCTGAAGAAGGCATTAGTGATAGTTTCCACAGAAGCTCTGGGCTTTAGAAAATGTTAATGGCACAGAACTCACGTATAAATACAAGCTACTAAGAGCAGTGGTAATTAAATGCAATGTCAACAGAGGCACATTATCTAATGAGCTGTTTTCAGAAGTTAATAACGTGATTAATCACTGATTGATACAAACCGTGGAAAGAGAAATTCTTCTATACTAATAGGATTCGGAGCCCAAGGGCAGCCAGATAACAGGCAGAACTTGGCTAACAAGGGACCAGCTGAAGTCGAGGTGATTGAGGTAAGAGGGAGGCCAGCTGGCTCCTCAGACAGATTGTCCCCATGTGGCGCTTACCAGTGGGGCTTTTGTATTGCAGGGTCTCAGTCCTCAGCTTCGAGGGCCAAGCAGCCTATAGAGTTCAGCAGAGTTAGGAAGACTCATGCTAACAAAACATGGAAGAGACCAAAATATAAAGTAGACTTTAGGTAAACTAATTTAAAATATGGACTAGAATTACCATAGAGATTGGGATTTTCTTTCTAGCTTGGTCTCATTGCAACAGGTATAATAGCATTGTATGTTCTCAAGCCTTGAGCTTCTAGTGAAGCACTCCTTATATGGAAGGCCCCGTGTTAGGTCCTGAGGACACCCCTGTGATTCACATGTGTGCACATGCGCACACGCACAGTAGAGGAGTGACAAGGTGAGCAAATGCCCATGCTGACATGTGTTTTAGAGCCTTGCTGCTGTGACCAGAGGCCTGGTACAGAGACACCACCCAGGAGCTTTTGGGAAGGCAGAGTCTGGAAGAACTGGTCATGGATTCGTGTGCAGGATGCTAGGTATGCAGAAGAGAGTCCACACTGATGGTGAGGTGATGGCCGGCCTAGCTGTAGAGCAGGAATGGAGAGGAAAATGTCTCAGGGAGAACGGATCAGGGAGGGAGAGAATCAAGAGCTGTGGTCTGGGGGCCAATGTGATGAGTTAGTGTATAACAGAGCTGGCTGCCCAAGCCTGATCTGAGTTTGATTTCCAGGATCCACCTGGTGGAGGGGGAGAACCAACTACCCATTAGAAGTTGTCCTCTACCCTCTGGCCTTAGAGACAGCAGTTAGCTAAGCCTAATAGCCTGACACCCAGACCCAACCCCTGCATTCAGGGCATGCTCCCTACCAAGCCACGTCCCCCTTGGTCTCAGTTCCTCTCTAGATCACTGCAGGCATCCCTTCCTTCCTGTGACTCCTCCCACAGGCTTCTCCTCGGACTCCTGTTTTACTTCTGAAATTGACCCCTTTGACTTGACTGAAGCGTTCCCTAAAAATCCCTGTGTATAATCCTGTAATCCTGAGAGGCTCACTCACCTCACATTAAAGGCCTTTCCTCTTTCCCACATTTTCCTAACCCAACTTAACAAGTTGAAAGATTTATGCAGTAAATAACCATGCACCCACCCTTCCAGGACCCACAGTTAGTGCCTTACTATTCTTTCTTTCTTTCTTCCCTTTCTTTCTTTCTTTCTTTCTTTCTTTCTTTCTTTCTT